CTGCTAAATCCACTTTTTTATAAATTACTTAATGCCATCCAAAACGTCGAACTACCTGTTGCATTTCAACTTGATTCTATTCAATGAAACTCAAAGAAGGAACAGAAATTTTGACAAGTCCAAAGAATAACTAAAATATTCATTAACGGCGAATGTTATCGACTAGCATGAATATTTGCTTTGCTTTCAATACCGCAATGATTTGGGAAGTTTTTATCTTTTGCTTTAAAATTTTGAAAAACTGGATTTAGCAGCTTTTCACTCCAAGTGAAGTGGGAAACGAAAATTTGGTTTTATCCCCCTTTTGGTTATTTTACTTTCCGATTTAAGTTATGCCTTTTCAGCTACTGGCAACTCTGGCTGTAGCTAAAAATAGCTGTTTCATGGTGAAAAATTGGCATTCGATTAAATTCACCATACAAAGTAGTAAATCAACACATAGCGGTGAAAACTGATAGTAGCGCCACTATGGCATTTACCAGCGGTGGCTGAGTGTGTTAACGCGCCGTGTTTAAGAAATCTTAGCCGACGCACGCGACGCGAGTTCGAATCTCGCTGTGGAGGTATTGTGGTGTGGGGGCCTTCTTAGTTTGGCAGGAGTTTTTTAAAATCGTTTACTGATTAAAGACTCTAATCAAAGAAGGTAGAATAAATCGTTCCTTCGTTTCCGCCGTACCTGTGCTGATCGCCAAACAAGGGTCTGCGACGGGTCCCGTATAACATAGCGAAGGAATACATTTTTTTCATAATTAAAAAAATTTATGGAAGCAACTTGATATTTTTTCATTCACCATATTTTTCTTTTAAAAAACATTTATTTTTAATGGTGTATCTAAATTTTTCGAGACGATTAAAATTTAGTTATACATACATATGTATGTATGTGTGTAAATAATTAACATTTTTCCAACGGCGCTCTTGCACAAACAACAACCCTATATACATACATACATATGTACATATATAAATATGTATGTAACGGCTTTTACATAGCATGTTTTCCTTAAGCAGCCACTTTAGTCGTCAACTCATTGGGATGGCCAGTAGCCGCGTGTGTTCGACCGCACCATTTGGGGAGTATTCGAAATACCAGAGTTCGTTTACCATTTGAGATACCAAATGGTTTGCAGCGGGCAATAACAAAATTGGCTGGAAGCGTTTCATTGCGATGAGACGAGCGAAGGAAGGAAGAAGAAGAAAAATGGAAGTATTAACGCCACAATAACCACCCTAATAATACGCAAGCTGGATAACCCAAAGAGGCACGGCGATGCCTAAAAGTGGAAGTAGAGACGCCAATACCACCAGAAGACGCAAAATGATAACCCAAAGAGGCACGGCGATGCCTAAATGGGGGCCAACAACCACTAATCCTGATGCATTGCTTCGCTTCTGTGCGAGTCCTTCTCGCACAATGGCCATCCTGCCAAGCGTTTAGTGTTCACCTTGTTGGAGTGCTCGCAATTCGTATACCTCGCTCTGAGGTACCTGGATTCATCACATTGCCCAAAGAAAGAGCTAGAGGGTAGGGCAAGCGGGTTTCGGGCACAAGCATGCAGGTACATACCAGGCATATATACTGGGAAGCGTGTGAAAATAGACTCCTTCCAACTGGTGCGCTCACGATTGGCTTTTTTTCAGTAAAATTCAGAAATTGGTTTTCTTTAAAATATTTATTTTTTCATTCGTATTTTTTTCTTAAATAAATTTTTCTTACTAAAAACTAAAAAAAAAGTATACACATACGTTTTTTTTCGCTTTAAAGTATGCACCATTTCACAAGATTTTCGAAATGAACTTTCTTCAACCAACTCACACCATTCACTTAAGTAATGAATTAGTCGCACACTCACTCGAATGGCCGTCAGCCGTGTGGTTTAACGCTTTGTGCACAAAACGTCTATTCGAATTTCACTGCTTTAATCGCAGGTTCGAATCCTATATGAGTCAGTAGTCTTCTAACCAATTATAATGGCTTGTTACTTTCGATTGCTTCAGAAGTGCACCCCTACTAGCTTTGAAACCGAAGCTTGTGAGTGGACTTCAAGGCCAATAGCCTCATATAGCCAATTCAAGCAATTAATGTTGCAATGCGTATGCATGACGCCATTCAGTCAAACGTTGTTGTTTGTACACCATGTTGGAGTGCTCGAAGTTTCGCACATCAAAACAATGCAGTAAATTCCACAGAGAGAGATCCAGAGAAACGAGCTAGAACTAGAAGGTATATCAGATGTGCGCATTTCGGGTACTACATGCGTTTTCAGCCAAGCACAAGAAGCCAGACCGTAGAGACTCGTTCTGTCCTACGCTGGTGTGCTGGTGAGCATGGCCTCTATAACTCCTTCCAACGGGTGACTTCGCGTTTGGCTTGTGTTTGTTTTTTTAGAGTCTATATGCAAACATTTTTTTTTTTATTCTTATATAAGGCTAATGTATTTATTTAGCTTTAGTATTTGTATATATGTATGTACATATGCATATTTCTTAAGACCGCAATTTACGTATGCGCGTTAAAAATGAAAATACATAGCAAAAACAAATGTCAATTGGCAAAGTGAAGGTAAAATGCCGGAATGCCAAGTGTGTTGGCCAACTGCGTGCGTATCTAATGACGTTACTATTTGCTTAGCTACTTATGTACGAGTATTTCTACTTGGCGTCTGCCACCAAAGTATGCTAACTTGCTTTGACTAAACCAACTTATTCGTAATCGTAAATTAAACAGTGTTTGCTTTTGCGTCGGCGCACTTGAGCGGTCAACATTTTGGCAATGCGTGTTTTGGCACAAGATTGACGCTATTTTGACATTGTTGCTATCACGATTGTCAAGGCATTGAATTGTTTAAACTTTACAGAAATAATATAGCATGAAGAAAAAGTAAAGAAAGACATAAACAATGATAGGTAAATGAAATGCTATAGGGATTTGGATGAAGAGACGACTAAAAGACTAAGAAGTTTAAAAGGAAGTAGGTAAGTACCTCAAGCCGAGTAAATTAAAGTCTTCAGAGAGAATTTCGTTTTTTGCAAGCTTTTATTAAGTTTGATCTATGTGTAATCAAATCTTGCAATACATTTTCAACCAACTTACCGATGAGCTTGAAACTTGAAAGAGGTGCTAGGTGGCGCAGGTTTGATGTATGTATTTGAAAACCACTGTATTTTTGCTCTGATATGGTTCATATTTGGAGCTTATATTACTTACATCGTCGGCCGCTGTGGTGTAGTGGTAAGCAGTGCGCGCTTCCACTCCACAATGCCTGGGTTCAAGCCCTATAGTCAAAGCGACATCAAAAAAATATAGAAAACGGTTTTTTTTCTTAACAGCGGTCGTCCCTCGGCAGGCAATGGCAAACCTCCGAGTGTATTTCTGCCATGAAAAACAGCTTCTCATAAAAATACAATCGCCGTTCGGAGTCGGCGTAAAACTGTAGGTCCCTCCGCTTTGTGTGACAACATCAAGGCGCACGCCATAAATCGGAGGAGAAGCTCGGCCAAACACTAACAATATGTGTAAGCGCCAATCTATTATTAATATTATTATTACTTACATGAAAAGGAATAACTCGGCAAAAATGTTTGCGGAAAGGTGACGCATAAGTCGAGATATTTGGAAAATCCGTATTTATGTCCCGAATTGTTTCGTATTTAGAACGCATATTACTTAAATGGAACGAAATTACTCAACAAAAAATATAACCGATTTCGATATTTCTTTTTCATTCGGAAAGGCGGCGCCTCAGGGGTGGTCCCTTGTCATGTGTAGAGAAGGATACTTCTGTAGCCGATCTCGGAAACTTCTGGTATAAAATCGTAGTTTTCAAAGATTTCCGACTGCTCATTCACTGGATTTGAAGGAAAAACCAAAGCTTCTCAGCTTAATGGTGACTCGAACTACGGCAGCTTTAACCGCAATGACTAAGGGGTATGCTGGGAAGTGTAGCGAAATAATTGAAGTGGCCCGGAGCTCCCCACTAATTTCAAAAATTGCGGCCATGTATGCCTCTAAGAGGAGAATGAGAGAGTAGTAGTCTCTGAAAAAGAGGCCCAATCTACATTTTCGCGGATGGGTTGAAGTGTGGCAGCAGAGCCATGTTTAGCCTTCTGGATTTCGAAACATGGCATCATCGACATCGCAATAAACTGCTTAGCTAATGAATTGGCTAGGCAGGATACCCTTGGGGTACAGGGAGCGCATATGGATTCCTCTGACTTCTTATGGACTAACGCTGACAGGTTGGCTTATATTCGGCTCGGAAATCACTAGCCGACAACCCCGACTTGCAAAGTTTCGAAATGCTTCTCGTCGGTGGATGTCCGCGAGTGAACAAAGGAACTTCTGCAGAGGCGATTCTCGGTTATGACGGGTGTCGTGAACGGAATCCGATGTGGTTCGTTACAGACCCCGATTGCTGCAATTATTTAGAGAATGACGAGGTGGAGTATTCGCACCTGCTACCAAGGTTGTTCATCTTCATTGGATTACAATTTTATATGTACATTTCACTCACAAATAATAATAGTTAAAATAATCAGAAAGTAGGTACTAAATATTTATAGAAGACGATCCAAGAAATTATATGCTCGCCTTAAACTTTCTAATGATTTGCCAAAAAACTTTAAAGTTAGATAAGTCTTAAAAGTTTACATTTGTAAACATGTACTCTTTTCATATGTCTATTCAAAAAAAAAGAAAAAAGTTAGCTATGCCCACTAAAGCTAGTCGATTTCTATACAGATTTACATAACTTTTAGTAAATATTACATTTTAATTATGATGACTCCCATCTCATTCAATTTTTTGTTTGTTTCCCATGAGTTTCCATGATTGCGAAAGCCGATACGGCTTACCGCTCGAAATCCACTTCTTCATACGAATATAAATTTATTTTTACTTACACCATTATTTACTATTTAATTAATTTTCTATTTGCTTACTAATTTCATTTTCATTGAAATGTGCGTTTTCCTCTTTATTTCTTTCGCTTTATTTGCAGATACATCAAGCTACTACTTTGCCGCGCCCAATGCACAGACTCGCTTTGTGCCATCCGCTGCGTTCCAGTCGAATCGCCAGCCAGCCGCGCATACAGCCTACCTGTCGGGATCACGCGGTGGCGCACCGTTGCCCAATGGTGCTTACAGCCAACCCGATTCATATCAGGAGCAGCTGCTGTTCATTAGCAATGACGGCAAGCAGCAGCAGCAGCAGCAGCAACAGCAACAACAGTCACAACAGCAGTCCTCAGCGGCAGCTTACTCGCCATTTGGTGCGCAAATTTCGGTGAGTCAGATGAAAGAAAATTTTTGTGAATTTCGTTTTTTTGTTTTCTGGAAAGTTTGGGGCACATGGCTGATGTGCGGGCATTTGGGGAATATGGCATTTGCAGAACAGCTGGAGTACATTTACATTACATTACAGAATTCTCATTAGAACTATTAGGATGAGAAAATGTTTCGAAATTTTGTATCTTCAAAAAATAAATTTTTGGGAAATTGGGACGAAAGAAATTTTTTGGGACACTTAACAAAATATTTAAGATCAAAATATTAGAAGTCTAGATATCTTCATTTTTCTTTAAATTGGGGCAAAACACTTTTTGGGATACAACGCCAAATATGCTCTGACGCATAAACAATATATTATTATCACTACAATTTGGGACAGTGCTTAAAAATTGTATACACTAATGTAAAGAGATCAATGCTAATTAAAAAAATAAAGAAGCAGCATAGTTAAGGATGAGTTAATTTTACGAAATTTTGTATCTTCAAAAAATAAATTTTAGGGAAATTGGGACAAAAAGGAACTTTTTGGGACATTAAACAAAATATATTAGAGCAAATTTTTAAGAGGCCACACATCTTAAAAAAATATTTTTTTAAATGTGTCAAAACACTTTTTGGGACAAAATATTTTATTGTCAGAAAAAAGCTGGAAGTTTTGAATTTGGGACAGTTATTAATAATTTTGTGAGATAAACGTGGCTCATTTAAGTCATTGATAGCAACTTTTAAAGTAAAATTCCTCGCAAGAATTGCTTCAAAATTTTTAAAATTCCACGTAAAATAATTCAAGCACCAATAATGGGTAGAGAAACCATTAAAAATATATGTCTTAAAATTTGTGGCACACCAAAATAATGTGATGCATTACCAATTATATTTTCTAAGAAATATTTCAGCTGTTTTGGGACACAATAAAAAATGTCTAAGAAATTAGTAATAATAATTTTGTACCTAATATGATGATTATTTATGACAATTTCAAATATATTCGGGACGGTTGCACAAAATTTAAAATTCATTAAAACCGTTAAAATTAAGCAAACAAAATCTTTTAAACTGATCATACTATCTATATCAATACTAGCCATACTATGACAAGCTTGGGCTCATTACAAGTACGTTAAAATCTTGGAAAAATTTTGGGACAGCTGCCAGAAATTTCTTAAATGTAAATTTCACATTCATTTGATTAATCAAAAACTTTAAAATTTATGTTGGCAATTATTTGACCTCTATCTAGACGCTGAACTTAATGCTAATTATTTTGGGACATATTTGAAAGTTTTAAACTAATTACTTATGGTTGTACAATTTAATTGGAACTATGTGCATATATTCAGCGTTTTCAAAGTTTTTCGAAACTAAAAAATTTTGGGACAAAACTAAAATAATCAGAATTTTTAAAAATTAAAAAAAACAACAGTTTAAAACCATTTATACATTTTGGAGTGCAATTAGAAATTATGTATGAATAATATGAAAGTTCTCTTCTTAAGACAATACAAAATTATGAAACATATTTTATCAAAAAACTTAACTTAAAATAGGCAGATGATAAAAAACGATTTTCCAATTTCAAACTATTTATGTTTGCATTTTGATGTCTTCATCACCACCACCAAAGTGAAGATATACGCCAAAATTACTTTCAAATTTGTTAACACCAAATTAAAGCAATCAAACTTTGTTCATTGCCTTGGCACAACTCTATTTCGATGTAATGGGTATTTGAAAAATGATGTATATACATTACAATCAATTAGGAAATCAATCAAAATGCATTTTTTTTTTTTAACAAAAAAGTAAAACAAAAACAAATCACACGCAAGACAAAGAAATATTGAAATAATTGAAATTTAAAATGCAATTGCATATCGACTTGCCACATGCGCGCCTTGTCGCTGTAAGAAAAAAGAAGAATTAAAAAAAAACACAAATAGAAGAAAACACAAGCAACGAGTATCGTAAGTTGAATAATCTGAAGCCACAAACAAAAAAAAAAACAGTTGAAAAAATAATCGAAACAGCTAAAATGCAATCGCGGCGAATTAAAAAAATTGGAATCGACCAAGCAGTGAAAGTCCATCAAATAAACATAATGAACGCTAAGCTAACAGCCAATGAACCAACAACGGGCGCATGGCTAATACGGCCAGTGGCCACTCACTAACTTGAAGGCGGACGCGGCTACAGACTGAGCAACTGAGCGACTGAACAACTGAATTTCAAATTCAAAACGAACGAAATTTCGTGCGCGTAAATAGAAGAAAACTGCAGCGCAGACACGCACCAAAGCCAATGCTTATATGCATAGACCAACATACATTTGTCTTAACGCGCATGCGTGACTCAGCTGAAGCTATAACTACGTACATATGTAGCTTGTCTGGAGGCGTCAAAGGCGGTAGCGCACTTGCTTTGACTTTTCATTGAGCTTCTTAGCGGGTATGTAATTATGATTACATTCGATTTGGTTTTTTTGTTGTTTACCAATCAAGGAAATGTTGAAAAATAAGGCGCTGGGTTCAGCTATTGGCTTGGAGTAGGGCAAAATTCAAAATAAATATATATATTTTTTTTACTTTGCATATCTTTTTACAAGCATGCAAGCATTTGTATGTGTGCATTTATGTAATGTAAGCGACTTAAAAAAATAATAGTAAGTACAAATAGACTTATGTACTTTTGTTTGTGGGTACTTTGCCCCCACCAACTTGGGACCACGAAACTAATTTCGGAATGGAATTTCTTGCAGACGAAAATGCGTTTAGAAAGTGCAATGTCCCAAATAGGAAACAGCAAATGTGTTAAAATTTTAATGAAGCACAAGTACAATCGAAAAATATTAATAAAAAACTAACGAGCATGTATTTACAACAACAACAAAATATTATAATTTATAAAAATGGGTTTATAGACAGTTTGAAGGTGAGGCATGTGAGTGTGTGCTACTTATAGCGGGAAAATACTACTCAAAAATTTCCCAAACAAGCTGAAATTACAGTGTAATTAAGTAATGATAACATACTTACATTTGCGAAATATGAAAAACAAATACTATATGGCAAAAAAAAAAACAAAATATTATGTTAAACAAAAGACTTACACAGCGAACTCGGTGTTGAAGAGTGAAGTCAAATTAAATGAAAAGGTTATGAAGAAGACAAGATTTTTGCGGTTTTGAGGGCGTGGATGGGGCGGAAATTTTAGTACTCCAAAATTCGCTCAAAGTAAGGAAGCTTTCAAGCTGCATAGGGATGTACAGTAACGAACAAAAGTATTGGCACAGTGATTTTTTTTGTCATAATTTTTTACTAAAATATAGTTCATTCTACACTAAAAAACATAAGAATAAAATCTCTAAACTTTGTGCAAAACTGAGAAAAATTCAATAAATTTGAACACCATTTTGCACTTTCTATTCAGACTAAAAAAAAGATTTGGTGTGCAGTTTCATAGCCCTTCAATTCCAGTATTTATTTTTATGTTTTTTAGTACAGAACGAACTATATTGTAAAATTGTAGAAAATTATCGAAAAAAATTACAATAAAAAACTTTGCATATATTGCGAAGAACTCACTATGCCAATACTTTTGTTCGTCACTGTATGTATGTAGTGAGGCTAATTACATACTGTTTTCTCTCGGTCTAATATAGTAGATACATGGGTATATGCAATGTACATATGTATGTAAATTTAAACGAAAATTGGATCACTGTGGACGATTAAAAGTGTAACATTACAAAAGCAAAATTTTCAAAAAGCAATAGCAAAAGAAATGTGAAACATACAAATCATTTTATGCAACAAAAAAAAGCGAAGCCATTGTTTTGGAACTCATTTCAGCTTAGATTCAATACTAAATGCCTTTAAAAACTCATGGATTAACAAAAACCCAAATAAAAGTGAAAAAGCTTAAGAAAAGTTCAAACAGTGCTAACTACATAATGCTGCAACACCCGTTTGATTTTGGGCTGCAACAATTAACCATTGATGCATTTATTTACATCTTCATTTACATTCACATTTACCGGTTTACATTTGATACATAACTCTGCACATAAAAGCATTAAAGCAAGCATCTGCTATTATTGTGCGTTATCATGTTAATACTGTCTATATCACAATTAGTAACATTCGTTTGAGAGTAGCGTGGGAGATAAGCTTCGCTTATAAATCTATTGAGTAGCGAAGGCTTTTGTTAACGCATTGCCTATTAGTGAGTGTTTGAGCTCAATTTAAAATTGCAACAATAGGAATTGAAAAGGAAAACTGCAGAGATATACAAATATATCAATTGGTAATTAACAGGGAACGGATTTTATGGAAATTGCCTTTTTTTCTGCTAAAGAGATAGAGTATATTCGATTAAGAATGTCCACGATTTAGCTTTCCCTGATTCCATATATACACATTAGATGTTGCCTTTTTTTGCCTTTTTTAAGATATTTGCCTTTTTTTTGCCTTTTTTAAGATATTTGCATTTTTTTTGCCTTTTCTACCTTTAAAAAAGTGATTATAGCATTTACAATTTTTTTTTAAGAATAAAAAATATACACATTGCCCATGCGGGTTATAGAAGCGCATGGACCTCCTGCCAAATTGGTGTTGGAAAAATTTAAAGACGTTTTCTCAGCTAACGTAGGCTTGGAGACAGTAAGGGGTGTGAATAAAATTGTAAAGGGCGATGAAAACGCCCCTATTCCTGATAATATGAACGTTTCAAACGTTCCATATTTAAATTAGGCTCCACTTGTATCAACTTACACTGAGGAGCAAAACCGGAACAGTAATACATAATGTGAGTTTTCTTGCAATATATTCGCAATATATGAAGACTTTTTTGTAATCTAGTTTCGGAATTCACATTTCCAATGTTTATTTCATCAGAAGGCCTTAACAACAATAATTTATACAAGCAGATAAAGAAGAAAATTGCAAAAAAACGTAGCAACTAGATTGTTCCAGTTTTGCACCCAACAGAAAATTTTAC